AAGGGTAATGGAAACATGTAAACAAAAGGGACGCTACTCTAAATCTATGCGAATACTTATATGCAGTGTGGGTGGGTGGATGGATGTGTGGGTGGGTGGATGGATGTGTGGGTGGGTGGGTAGATGTGTGGGTGGGTGGGTGGGTAAATGTGTCGGTGGGTGGATGGATGTGTGGGTGGGTGGATGGATGGGTGTGTGGGTGGGTAGGTGGATGTGTGGATAGGTGGGTGGATGTGTGGATGGGTGGGTGGATGTGTGGGTGGGTGGGTGGATGTGTCGGTGGGTGGATGGATGTGTGGGTGGGTGGATGGATGGATGAATGTGTGGGTGAGTGGTACGCTTTAAATGGTAGTAGATCACGTGATCAAACACGACACTCTCACAGCAGCCCAAACAGTCATGTATAAATGTGTCATCTAGTCCATATGGTCTTTATGCTAAATTTCTCTTTTGCACATTTTTCGTTGTTTTTTCTGGTTGCGCATTTTTCTGTTTCTGTTTGCGCTTTTTTCCGTTTGCGCTTTTTTCTGTGTGCGCTTTTTTCTGCTTGCGCTTTTTTCCGTTTGCGCTTTTTTCTGTTTGCGCTTTTTTCTGTGTGCGCTTTTTTCTGTTTGCGCTTTTTTCCGTTTGCGCTTTTTTCTGTTTGCGCTTTTTTCCGTTTGCGCTTTTTTTTCCGTTTGCGCTTTTTTCCGTGTGCGCTTTTTTCTGTTTGCGCTTTTTTCCGTTTGCGCTTTTTTCTCTTTGCGCTTTTTTCCGTTTGCGCTTTTTTCTGTTTGCGCTTTTTTCTGTGTGTGCTTTTTTCTCTTTGCGCTTTTTTCTGTTTGCGCTTTTTTCTCTTTGCGCTTTTTTCCGTGAGCGCTTTTTTCTCTTTGCGCTTTTTTCCGTTTGCGCTTTTTTCTGTTTGCGCTTTTTTCTGTGTGCGCTTTTTTCTCTTTGCGTTTTTTTCCGTTTGCGCTTTTTTCTCTTTGCGCTTTTTTCTGTGTGCGCTTTTTTCTCTTTGCGCTTTTTTCCGTGTGCGCTTTTTTCCGTTGCGCTTTTTGTTTTGCGCTTTTTTCCGTTGCGCTTTTTTCCGTTGCGGTTCTTTCCGGCCACCCGTCAGTCCAACATTCCAGTTTGACAGCCTTAACTCCCTTTACGTCCGGATTGTTGACGTTTCCTTGTTGTTTCTATTTATAGAATTACAGGTAAACGCGTGTATTTAATTACGCTAATGCAATTATTTATAATAATTGTTTAATTAATTAATTTTTTTATAATCTTGGCAAGAATTCTGTATTACATGTTAAACTGGGCGATGTGGTGGGGAGCTAGAGAATTATATTATAAGCTAGAAGGCTTTGGGTTCGTATCTCTAATAAAAGTTACGGTATTTGTATGTTTTTAAGACAGGTTATTGAATTTTATACAGACCAAAGTGTAAATACTAAACGTAATCACAGGGTCATATAGGATGCAGTCAGTACGTGACCACGGGTGCACCTTGGAAATATTATGGCGAATGGATGCACCAGTCTTTCCGTTGAACCCCAACCCCATACCACAACTTATGGTAATAAAGCACACAAGACCGTAGCTGATTAACCACCACCCCTCACCCCACTCCAGATTCTCGATTCTACCCCCAACGAAAGTTTACATCATAACAGTTGTGGTAATGGAAACATCAACTTTTTTTTTAATTAAAAAAAAAATATTTCCTCTCTGTGCTGACCCCCCCCCCCCCCCCCCCGTTTCCAACTTTCTTAGATATTCTACTGCAGTCTTCTGTGATCTTTAAACCATAAGCAACGAACATTAAATTTTCTTTTAACTCGATATATTCACTTCCTCGTACATTCATTAAAAAAAAAAACTGAAACAAGTGAGAACGCACGTTGCATATTGAAGTGCGTATATGCATTACGTTTACACAGACGGAGTGGGGGGAAGGGGGTGGGGTCGAGACTGACGATTTTTCTGCGCAGTGTTTCGTAACCTGCCTTCCATATGTCCGACTACCTGCTCATAGCCACGTATATATCACGACCATACGACAACAGCAACATGAAGTTGTCAGGACGGATTACTGTAATTAAACCTTAGAACATGGCAACGGTACTGTTTTTTTTTTTGTTTTGTTTTTTAATTTTCTCCCGCATTAACCCGCAAGGAAAAATTGATGAGAGTGGTCGGAAGTGAAAGGGTTAAAATAAAATAAAAAATGACCTTGTTAACCCTATACTAATGGTCGAGTTGTAAATTGAAAAAAAAAATTGCCTTTAAAAAACGAGCAGAGTGAGAGTGCACCGAGTGAACTTAAGACACACTCAGTTGACAGATTTTTGATAAATGGGTCACGCTGCTCCATGCACTCGATGTGCATGACTTTTGTCCTACGGCGCGCGCGTGTGTGTGTGTGTGTGTGTGTGCGCGTAGGTATGTGTGTGTGCGTGTAGGTGTGTGTGTACGTAGGTGTATTTGTGCGTGTGTTGATGTGTTTGTGTTGGTGCATTCGGGTGTTTAGGTGCGCGCTTGTGTTGGTGTTTAGTTCTGTATGGGCTTGTGTTGATGTATCAGTGTGCGTTTCGTTGTTGGTGTGTGTGTGTGTGTGTGTGTTTGTGTTTGTGTGAATGTTGGTGTATTTGTGTGCATGAATGTGTTATTTTTTATTCATGTAACCGTGAGTGTGTGTGTGTGTGAGAGAGAGAGAGAGAGAGAGAGAGAGAGAGAGAGAGAGAGATACTACGTGCGTCTTTGTTTTCGAATATTCTTGCTATCCTGAGAAATAAATACAAATCTCAAATCCTAACTAGAAAAAAAAAATTTTAATACTGACAGTTAAGGCTTTTATGACTAACAATAACATAAGACACGATTTATATAAACCAAAATGCAATTCCCCCACTATAATCATAACACAACTCCTACGCTTTGTAACAGCCGAAATTCCCCACATAAAAAAATAATCGATCACCCTATTTCTGATCGACTGTCCACTTTTTATTTTTATTCCTATTGGACTCAATGTAATTAATTGAACCCAGTGGGTAAAAAAATCGACTACATATTTAATTATCAACGTCGATACTTCCGTCGATACTTGTTATGGTTGACACGAAGGGGTGAACCGGTGCAGTGCGTTGGTTTATGCTAGAGGTCGCGTTCCGTATGTCAGCAGTTTAGCTCCCCCTGTTTCCCAGACAGCCTTGGCGGTGCGCGCGCAGCGTGTTACGTAATGCGGTGTTCTATTTTGATAATCACCCAGGAAAACCCCATCTTGATTTCTTCGCCCTGCTTCACCTCGATATTTTATTGTTGTCAGTTTTTTTCCGTTCTTTTAAAATTGTTACTTATCAAAAGAATAATATACGAACGTGCAGTTATGACTAGAAAAAAGTGTATTTTAAGATGGTTTTTTTTCAAAGCAGATGAAACAGCTATAACTAGATCTAGTTGGTACTTGTAAACTTGTAAAACTAGTGATGTAAATGAACCTTGGCATATTTTAACTTTTATAGAGTTCATTCAGTCCATTGGTGTTAGGGGGCTTTCATATAAAAGCAAAACAAGAAGTTTGTGACTTCATTGGCAAACTTGCTGATTCTAGTCCACACCCATAGTCACTCGATACCACAAACCCGAACCCCCACCCTTTAATTTTCCTGAAAGTGTCACATCATAAACTAAAGTTTATTTTCGTAAAAGTGAGATATAACAAACGTTTTTTTTCGTAAAAGTGTCATATGATAACTAAAGTGCATGTCAGATTTGAGTATCAGGTTTTCTAGCCCGTGACTTTAACACAGACCATATCCTGAACAACAAAGTGTTGCCTTCCTAAAATAAAAATTTGATATTATTGTGAGACTTCTAACTTTACAAAGAAAACGTTTTAGAAAAAAATCAGTACGGTTAACCGGGTCAGGATGTCACTAGTGGGACATATGGGGTTTGGAGTTAAACCATCTAATTGAGGTTTAATTGATAATTGACCACCCTGACTCCTCCCTCCCACCTCCACCCTCTCCCCACATCTAGCCAGTGTTTCTTTCAGGCAACTCTTCGGGGGTAGGGAATGTAGTCTCCCTCACCCCCCTTCGAAAGTTTTCAAGTGCTACACCCCCGGAGAAAAAAGTCTGAAAGAAACACTGGTTCTAGCATTGAACAAGCCTTCGTTTATCTTAAACCTTTGTTAAGAAAATATATGTTGCACTAGGATGACTATATATGGACTTAAATGCATGTCACATACCACGTTTCCGGCCCAATTCAACACCCTATTAGATCATAAAGTTGTGGGCGTTTAAAAATGCGTATCACATTTTCGTTTGAAATAAAGCGTCCAGTAAATAAGAAATAATAGAATAAGGATTAACACAAATTAAATGTAGGCCCTGTACTCGATATATTATTTTGGAGTTGCGCTGTTTAATGACATGTTTTCGTTTGTAATTACGTATTAATTATTTTTGAATTACGTAATTAGTAAACGCGACAAACAATAAAATCGGTTAGAGGGCAAAGGTTAATAAACTGCTACGGTCCGGTGCGTACAAAGTTACAGATAAACTTCCGAGGACTCCGCTTACGTCACATCTACGTCATACTTGTTATTTCTCATGCAGCCTCGATTTAAAAATTACGTGAGTTCAAAGTGCAGTGTGGCTCTGTATTTACAATAATTTCTTGCATTATTATACTTTTTCTTGATCTTATATGGAAAAATATTTTAAACGTAAACACATCATAATCATTTTAATAAATATTTCAAAGCAAATTTAAAGAAATATTAAATATTCTATACGAATTAACACGAATGCATTTTGAAAAACAACTTAACCTCTTTACCCATATACGGATAAGCTCCGCCCCATCTATTATTAGACTTGAGTTCATTCAATTTCATTCATCTCTTGGCTCGTAGTAAAAAAAAAAACGTAAGCTGATCGGCGGGCTGTGACTGCGCGAGGCTGCGCGGCGTTGGTTGATTGTTCACACCGCGCGGTACACTACTTATTCGCGCCGTGCTTGTTTGGCACCCCAGTTACGACTAGCTCTCCGTGCAAACGACGTCGCGTCAAGCACACACAAGAAATATCATAATCATCAACACTTTTTAAATCGGATTGTTTACTTCTGTTTGATATAGACTACATTCCTAAACAATTTTCTTACATTGATTTGGACTTTTCTTTTTTTCTTTCAACTGATCCGACTACTTTATTCGTGGTATGGCTCAACTTCTACAGCGCCATAATATTCCAGCTATTTCTACCGTTTCGATTGAAGATCAAATAGTGCCAGACACAGATGATCTGTTTTTCAGTTCAAATGATGAGCCGGCTCAAAATGTAAGTATTTTATAATTTTTTGTTAATATCTCTAAAAAAAAAAATAATTTTAATTATTTAATTATTTTGGTTTATTTTTATTTGTGTGTGCTTCTTCAGTCTTGGTTTTAACAAAATTCTAATGTTAATGTAAAGTTAATTTAAAGTAAAAAGTTGTATAGTATAGTCTAAAGTCTAGATCTCTAAACCTTTTTTCTTTTTTTTTTCTTTTTTTTATTATTCTGTAAATTCGTAAAACATACTCAATTTCAATAATTTCGAAATTAAAAATTATAACATAGACTAGGCATTGTATACTGTATGTATAATATTTATTTTGTATTTTGTATTTGTAAAATAATCATTTTTAAAAGTTATTATTGCTAACTCCAAGATATACCCCTCCCCTCTTTTTGAATTCGCTATGAATTATATTAATTATAGGAATGAAAAATTTAAAATGTACTGCTAAATTGGGTTATATAAAGAGCTAGAGTCTAGATCTAGAATCTATAGATTTTCTGATTTTGGTTAAGAAAACAGTTCCCCGTCCTTTCCCCCCCCCCCCCCCTCCCCCCCGATAGTATAATTGCAGTAAATCATCCGTAGAATTTCACTCCTATATTGACTCGTGCTCCGCTTCCGTTCTAAAATTTGACGGTGTTTGCTGTTACTATTTTCATCCATTTCGCTCACGGCACCGTGCGGCGTCTATTTATAGAACACAGTTTGTTCCAGATCAAACTGGCATCGACGTGATATAAATAGCATACGTTTAGTTTCGTGGGTGTAGGAAGGGGTTCTCCAAATATCAACCGAAATTGGTGTCATTAGTTATCTTAGCTAGATCTATATTTTTTTCTCTCTGCTGTACATTCCAATATACTGACATATAAAGTTTTGAAATGTCAGCCACATAGTCATATTTCAGTTATTTCTTTATTATTATTATACTAATTACGTAACCTAGATTTAAAATGACAGTGACAAAAATATATAATTGATGTGATTAAGGACTTTTGGCCACTAAGGGGTTAAGTTTTTTTTTTTCGCAATGGATGTCCAACCCAGTTTCAGCTTAATCTTGTGTATCAGGTGCATGCCTCAACATTAAGATTCCACACATTCCTCAGCCTCAGGTTACATGCAGTATGACTAACATTAGCCACGGTGTAATCAGGGACATGTATGTACAGTTGTCTTCGTAATGTGTTGTGTGTGTGTGGGGGGGGGGGGGTAATATCCTTTCAACCAAGTGTTTCAATAATGTATATTAACGAGGATACGATATAAGAATGCGTGGCATATGTCAACTATATTTATCGTGTCCTATATCGTTGCTGATATGCTAAACTGGTGTATCCTGGTTCAACGAGGACACGATACTCAGAACTGTGAGGCAACTATGAGAAACAGGTGTTTACCATTTTACAACACATAGATCTAGATTTACCTAAAATATGGCTGCTTCAAAAAACGCGTGTAAAATCTAGATCAATCGGAATATATTTCTAGATGTAGTATTAAAAAAAAAGTTTATAACTTTGTTATTCGGGAATAAAAATAGCTTGTCTGATGCAACCTAGTAAATTTGGATCATAAAGAGAAGAAAAAAAACGTAGCGCGCTCTCGTGCAATCGAACGCTGCGCGCAAACGAGGTCGCGCATGAATCAGTCGCTCATTTGCGTAGCCTAGAGAAGTGGGGAAAACCCAGACTGTTTGCCCTGTCACTGTGACTCCATATCTGACCGGTGTCGAAAACAAGTCTGCTCCGCGCTTTTTTCCTCCCGCCCCTCTCCGCACGGATAGTTGCTGTTAACATAAAGTGTATTGACATTAAATTAATCAAGGACTATTTTTCTTTTGTATTTTCAAACTTGTGCATTTAGTAAGTTTATTTTTATTATTGACAGTAATTGTTTATAAGCTATAGATCTATATAGTTTTATTTATTCGCGGTGATTACAAAAAAAAAAAAAATGTATTTAATTTTTTTTTTTTTTGCGTTTTGACTTGTGATTATGTTAACCGGACTTCTTATTGTTCATTAAGTTGTTGCATCGGATTACAAATCACGTGGAAACTACAGCTTTTAAAACTAATTTATAGATAATTTATTTTTCACACACCGTTGTATTTTTACACGGGTATTACGAAAACTTTACACCGGCTGACCTCGTTCTCACGTGAGCACCGGGGTGCTTTTCTCGCCACCTATCTCTTCATTCATGCTCACAGTGGCTTGCTAATGTGGGTGGTTATTTTTTTTTTTCTTCGCTGTTGGAAACCAATGAAAACCTCTCTCTGAGAAAAACAACAATCTGCGTGGGAGTGTGTGCTGCGCGGTAAAAAAAAATCTTGCGCATACTTTAGGAATGCGCTGCGCAATGTCAACTATGTATTGCCCGAAGATATTACTCTATCTGTAAACAATATATTTTATATCTTTATATATAATTATAATTTTATGTCTTAAATTTCGAAATCATATTTAGACCTCTATACCTGTAATGGGTGTATTGTCCTTACATCATTTTGTGTGTGTTAACTTCCGCCATGGAGTGGGTAGTTCATCATTCTTAGGCCCACCTACACCATCTTCTTAGAAAAAGACAACCGGAAGTACCTGCGTGTAATTATTGGGGGGGGGGGGGGGTCAAGACAGCGGGATATATTTGACGGTTTAGAATGTGTTGCGCGCATGTCCGTGTCGTCGACGTTGGTGTCGTGTTTCTAGGCCGTGGGTACGATAACGATACGGGCTACAGTGACGCGCATACCCGACTTTTTATGAATGAATTTTCGTCATGCACGGAAATGAAATCCGATTCAGACGATATTTAACGTGTGTACGCCCACACGTTTTTTTTTCCCCTTCTTGACTGAATGGTTTATGGCGCCCTGCTAGTGTCTGGTGTAATGTGTTTGACTTTGGGGTAGGGGTAGGGTTGTGTGTGATATGTGTACGAATGACTTGGCAGAATGCCGTTTTAGTGTAAGACATAGAATTGAAGTTGAAAGTGGTAGCTATAAACCCAAGTCACCTGAACTTAAACGTATCGACTTAAGTAAAGAAAACGGTGGGGATGAATTTATACTTATTTACCCGTGTTTATAAATAGAAAACGATGAAATAATATGCAATTGAGTGACTTGGCGATGGTTTAAAACATGAATGAACACGGGGCTACTTTCACTTTCATTTTTAAAACCGGACTTGCTGACATTTCTTGAAAATATCACAGTTCGTTTTAATACATGTCTTTCTCGTTAAACTATACAATGATGTTAGGACTTGTTGCGTTTGTCATAGATAACATTCTGCTGACTACTGGCCAACAACATAGAGTGGGGGGGGGGGGTGTAATTTTTTTCTTGTTTAAATTTGAGTTGACTCAAACCCCCACTACAGGGTTGGCCCGCGAAATTCACATTAGGAGGGGGGGGGAGCGTGACTTACGAAATGACTGATACAACAGTTGCTGTCACACCTCGTCTAGTTACGAGCAAATTATCCCTGTAACTAGCGAGAAAATGTCACGTGATTACCGTAGAGGGGGAGTGGGGATGCCTACTTGTGAGTAACCTCGGTCTTTCATCATCCTCTCGCGCGTCCAAGACCCCAGAACATGGTAAACTTTCAAACCGGCGTTTCATCATGCTTATAATGATAGAGCTGGGATATTTATGTGTTAAAGTATGTTCTAAAGCTGCTATTTTATATTGTGACACACAGTTTAAGTAGAAGCCGGGTTGTTTGTTTAATGTGAGTATTTCTGTAAAGTCCTGACGTCATATAGCATTATAAAATTTCAACTTGTTGTGCAAGAGATTAATCTTGCTGTGTCCTAGTTTTCTTTCTTATATTGCTGAAATCTCTAGCGGTGCACTGTAAGCAGCATACGGTGTATCGGTTCTTTTTGTTGTACTGGTAATTATATCCGGATAGCGATCCATTTTGTTGTTCAAACAGGGGCGACGATTCTTGTTTTCTTAAATGTTGCCCACGCTATCAAACTAGGTCTGCGGTCACTCACGTGGTGTAATTAATCAAACGACAAATACACGACCCGACGACTCTCTCGTCTGCTTCACAGGACCCTCCCCCCCCCCCCCCCCCCCCCCCCGCCACAGGTAAAACTTTACATAAGGGCCCCAAGCCAGGCTTAACTCGCAAACTGTGATTCGGTGTCTGCCGGTGCAGTCTCGATTTTTTTCCCTTCAATTTTGTATCCGTTCTACGTCAGTAATTGTTTAAGTATATATCCCTCCTGTTTTAATTAATTAGCCCAAAGGCTTGAAAATAAATTTATTTTTCTTTTCTGTTGAATAGGTTGACGTGCTAGATAAATACCTATCAGAGATGCCACAGACCCCAGCGCATCTGAAGAAAGCCAGGAGAGAAAGCGCCTCCGTAATCGACGAGTTCTTTGGGGATCCTTCCAAGACGCCAAATTTCCTAGCCAACAAAGGTTTCTTCACCGCGCCCCAAACTACATCCAAACCTCTGAACAGAATGCTGAGCTCTTTCGAGAAGCAAGCGCTATTCGGAGACGACTCATCACGAAGGACGAGCTCTTCACTAGTGGAGGAATTTTTCGAGACCTCCACCGATCCCAGAACGTCAGTTCCGGTGGATAAACTTTGGATCAAACCGGAACCAGTTGACATGGTGTCCAAGGCGATGGAGACATTCGAGACCCCGGAAGTGTTTGATATTGACTCGACCATGTTTGACATGTCCTCCAGCAATGACCTGACCTTGGTCAGCGTCCAGAATGACCTTGTGGGCAGCACGTCGGCGCAGACGGCCGCCCTGCAGTCGGACACGCTGTGGGAGGACCTGACGGCCAGCATGAACATGGTGGACAACCACATGCCGTGCGACGCCAGCAACGGATTTACCGTCAAGGCCGAGCCGATGGACAGCGAGGAGAAACCCTCGTGCCAGTACGGGCCCAACCACCCCCGCCACAACCACATGGTCTCGCGACCCAACAGCGCCGACCACTTCCTGTACACGTCCCAACCTTCGTCCAGCTCGTACACGAACATGTCCACAGACGTCAGTATAGCCAACTCTCTCTTCACATCCCCTTTACCCAAAACGACTTTCAGCCAGTCGGTTGTCCGACATTCTCACAGTTCCAGCGGCGGCGTTGTGGTCAACCAAGGGGCAATGAACTCTGGATTCTTACCGCCAAACCCACATTTCAAATCCGCCACCTCAACATCCCCCTCCCCTCATGTCGTTCCATGCCTCTACCCCACCCCACCCAACTCCCAGCCCGCCAGTCCTAACAACGAAGGCGGCGTCAGACGAACCCCACCCCCACCCTACCCAGGCATCTCACAGATCCCCCGCTCAGTCCTAAGCCCGGCCCCCTCTTCCCTACCCGCCACTGTCACCATGGCACCCAGCTCGACCAAGAGCGACCGTCCGAGAAAGCAACCCGTCACCCACCCCGGGTGCTCAACCATCAAATACAACAGGAAGAACAACCCGGAACTTGAGAAAAGAAGAATTCACTACTGCTCTTTTCCTGGTAAGTTACCATCTCCTACACGACTCTTATTTTATGGTGCTAAACTACGACACGACACTTTAATCACCGCCCCACTCTTAAGATACAATTACCCGTGTACTATGACACTATTGCCCCCACCCATTCCACCCCCTACCACACGTTTAAGTAATTTTCTGCTACCCAATCGAACGCGAACTACTTTTTACTATGACGTCACCTCAAGATTAGAAGGAAGCCGCCACGACCCTAAAAATAAACCCGTGCCGAATTTCGACAGTAGTGATAAAAATAGCCCAGTTAAAAGCTTACTAGGTCACTTGTGCTAGATAACGCATCGATTGTCATGTGCCTTTTTTTTTCTTCACGTTCTACTGACATCGTTAGTAAGGGTTATAAATAGATAGAACTTTCTCGAAAGTTTAGAAACTTCGTATCGGGTGACACTTGATCGATTTAGCTTGCAATAAATTTACATTGAAGAAAAAAAAACATGTGATGATTAATCACACAAACTGTTGCAGACGGCGGAGTATTTCTAATAATAGTTGACGATTACTCAGCAAAATTATGATTTGGGTGGGGGGGGGGGGTCGGGAAGGAGGGAGGGAGGGAGAATTAGATAACACTAATAAAACTTTTTAAAAAAAGATTCTTTTTAGGCATAATGATTAAGTAAACATTTTGTGTTGTTGTTTCTTTCGTAGAGAGTTGATGTAGCGTGGGTATGTCTACGGTAACATAAGGGAATAAATTGAACTGCTTCGTTGATTTCAAAACATAACCAAAATATTATTAGTATAGTGATGTAACATTAAAATTAATTCACCTCGTTACATAAACTAGCAATTAATTTACTGTTTTTTTTTCTTCCCCTTCCCAGGTTGTAGAAAAGCTTACACGAAGAGCTCCCACCTCAAGGCCCACCAGAGAATCCACACGGGCGAGAAGCCTTACCAGTGCCATTTTCAGACCTGTGGCTGGAGGTTCGCCCGTTCTGACGAACTGACCCGCCACATACGTAAGCACACTGGTGCCAAGCCTTTCCGGTGTAAAGTCTGTGACAGAAGCTTCGCCAGGTCGGACCATCTGGCTCTGCACATGAAGCGTCACGAACCCAAAGGAAAATGAACTCTCCTGGATGGGAAACAAAAATAATAAAAATACACCACCCTGGTGGACTATCTGGCACGCCACTGGCCAGTTTTTTAATTTAAAAAAAAAACCTGGTCAGCTCAGATAATCAAGTGGCCAGATTTCTCGACTGAATTCATGTCAAACCTGCATGGAATGAAAACGTCAATCTGGCCAATACTGTCCACCAAGACTGAACTACGTATTTTTAAAATCCACAGATATTTACGAATGTCTCCTGACTTCAACCTTGACACCAGTCATAGACTAACATTATTAAGTGAGGGTTCAAACCGTTTCTGTTCAGTTCAAACGGTTTTTTGGCCCCACTGATGAAAAACATTGTGAGATTAGTAATTAAGCATGCAAGTAGCTTGATTGTCGTATTTTAGTGTCATTGTTTGAAAGAATTAGTAGAGCCTTCCAAGTGTGATATAATTTTTTTATAGATTTTTTTTTAAACAAGAAATAATGAAAGTTGCTTGTTTTTGTTTTGAAAATATACCTGTGCATGTTAATGATTGAACTTTGACTTGTTGAAAAACCTGGTCTTTCTAGTCTAAATGTACATTATTTTAATTACTTCATTTAATTGTTCTACTTAATTTTTATTTTATGATACAAATGTGGTTCATATGTGTCCCAGTTGTAATTGGAACTTTGCTTAGGTTTCTGTGTGTGTCCTTATCTCTCCTGTTCTCAACCTCTAGTACATTCGCAAGTTGGTCGTAGTCCTCTTGAAAATATATTAGTTCAAAAAATGTCCTGTACATTCTCAAGTAATTTTTATTTTCAATTTAAATGTTAATGCATGTTGTTTTTTAACATTGAAACCAAAAGTTAATTTAGTAGTAGTCGACTACTAGTGCTTAATGTTTGTAAATGAATCTGATTGGTTGCGAGATATGGAAGTATTGCAAGACACGAGTGTGGAATTCATTGTACGAATTAAAAAAACAACCTCACAGTGCATTTTATATGTGAAACAAAAGATCTCAAAGCTTTTGTAATTAATTAATTAATTAATTTTATTGCCCAGTAACTCCACACACCAATCTGAAAATTATATTATAATCCAACATGGCTGACTTAATTTATTAATAAATAGTAAATTAACATCTTAATTAAACTAATTAAAAAATCAGCTGTTTTAAATCCTAGTATTGTTTTGTAAAAAAAAAATCCTGTTTATTTTTAAAAAATCTAAACCACAACAAAGCTTGTTGCTATAGCAACATTCTTACCACATGCAAGCAAATCAACTTCTACCGTCTACACCAGCTTTTGCTCCATATCATGGATTGCTTTTATTTTCCAAGCAATATCTATGGTCATATTTTTACAATCTTCACGTTGTCATGTTTTTTACTATGTATTTTATGCTTAGACATTTTTTAATAAGTATATTGCAAAAAAAGTCACAAATTTTAACCGTTTATGCAAATCTCATGTTTTTTGTGTAAACATTTTGTTTGAATGCCATTTTTATTGAAACTTAAGCAATAAAATGTTTATTTAATATTTCATAGTCTCATCTCCTTTGTTGGTTTATTTTTCACCATATGTGTGTAGTTTCTCTGAGTAATGTTAGTTAAGTGCCTCTAGCGATCCATTGAGCAGTTGAAGTAGAGTTCGTGTTTTTTGAGCTCGGAACATTAAGGGATAGTGTGGTCTGCACTATGTCCAGCCGCCTCATCAATGCAAGCCAGGTCATCAGAGCTGGGTGGACTCCGAAACGCTCTACGGTCACAAGACCGAGCTAGCAGCCGAACGAAACGTCTGAGTTGTTTAAGTTAATGAGAAAATATCAAGTGGGGGGGGGGGGAGGGCATGGTTTTTCAACACGACACTTGTGTTTTTTGAGCCAGCCCTCAATTGATCCGTGAGTCTTTTCAGCAGTAACAGGTACTCAGTATTCCGGAAAGTGAAGACGGTTGGCCATATTTTAAGTGGACTCATCGTTGATGGCTAAATTTTATTATAACCCTCATACTGTTTTGGCCATTGGTGTTCCCAGCAGTTGGTCATGTGACTTTCACGTAGCTTACACATCAGTCTACGATTTTAGGGATGTTACAATTTTAATGGAGGTGTAGCCAGAGGGTTTGAAGCGTACCAACACCTTTTATTGAGGTATGTTTCTAAAAACATTTGATGTCTTTCGTTGGAGGTGGCGATCAAACCATCAGAAAAGTCCTCTATTGAAGGAAATGTCCGAGTTTAGAAAGGTGTTGGTTTTTTATTGGATGTATTGGGTTCTGGGGCACATTCAGTATGATCTCATAGAGTGACGTCATATTCCTCCATCAAGGTGATCTCATAGAGTGACGTCACATTCCTCATTTTGTGTGATGTCATTGAATGACATCACAGTCCTAATTTAGTGTGATCTCATAGAGTGACTTCACATTCGTCATTCAGTGTGATCTCATTAGCAGCTGCATCTAATTTGACTTTAAATATAAATATAAGGCAACAATCTACAAGTGTACTTTAAGGCAACAATCTACAAGTGTACTTTAAATATAAGGCAACAATCTACAAGTGTACTTTAAATATAAGGCAACAATCTACAAGTGTACTTTAAATATAAGGCAACAATCTTCTTCTTCTTCTTCTTCGTTCTTAATTATTAGTGTTGAAGGGGATCGAGATTTATCTGCCAGTGCGTTTGAACTCGAGACTTTGTTCGAATTTATCAACCATGAGCATGTTGCCGACTCGACCACGCCTCCAACACAATTAAGCGTTACGTGTCAACTGGTTATGCGCCATTGAGGCCATTGACTCCGATTTCAGCCTGCTTTTCTTTTTGGATTTGCTTCCATAGCCTTTGTCCAACCAAGAACAAACTACAAGGCAGCAGTTGTTTAATTTTGGAGTTGTCTCTCCTAGAAGAGTGGCTGTCCCCAGCTAACGAGCCTCATTTGCCCGAGGGTTCGAACTCGAGACTTTTTAGCAGCCATGAGCTTTACCGACTCGACCACGCCGACCCCCGGCAACAATCTAAAAGTGTACTTTAAATATAAGGCAACAATATACAAGTGTACTTTATAAGGCAACAATCTACAAGTGTACTTTAAGGCAACAATCTACAAGTGTACTTTAAATATAAGGCAACAATCTACACGTGTACTTTATAAGGCAATAATCATCAAGTGTACTTTAAATATAAGGCAACAATCTACAAGTGTACTTTAAATATAAGGCAACAATCTAAAAGTGTACTTTAAATATAAGGCAACAATCTAAAAGTATACTTTAAATATAAGGCAACAATCTAAAAGTGTACTTTAAATATAAAGCAACAATCCACAAGTGTACTTTAAATATAAGGCAACAATCTACAAGTTTACTTTAAATATAAGGCAACAATCTACAAGTGTACTTAAAATATAAGGCAACAATCTATAAGTGTACTTTAAATATAAGGCAACAATGTACAAGTGTACTGTTCAATTAGAGTTCAAGCAAACATGTAAACAATTCACTAAGTCCAAACCCATTACATTTGATTACATAGACGTGGACTACACAACAAGGAAGCTAACTCTAACGAACACCGTGTTTATTGCCCCTGTGACATTTTGTCGTTTCGCTTGAAGCCAAGACGTCATCTTGGTACAACTCTGACCGATGGCTTGTTGTGTCGTTGTTTTTGTCATTGACACCTCATCAACATCATCTGTGATTCAGAACTTGACCTTAACCCCAGACACAGTACAAAATATAGTTGCAGAATTCTGTGTTAAGACCCATTACAAAGTATAGTTTTAGCGTTGTCTTAAGACACATTACAAAATTTATTTTCAAAACTCTGTCTAAAGACACATCACAAACTATAGTTTCAAAACTCAGCCTTAACACAAATTACAAAATATAGTTTCAAAAATCTGTCTTGGCACACAGTATAGAAATAGGGCTTATAGCTCTGTGTGCAGATACATCACAGAATATAAGTTTTAGAACTGTGGGGCTCTATCGCATAATTTTGTATCACGAACATAAACCTAGTCCTAAACTAACTCAGACACAACCCTCATTACCAGAATGTTTTGATAAGTTTAGGAGCAAGCTAAGGCAACTTGGAACCTTGTAACAATTCCCGAAAATGTAAATAAACCAGTTTCTGTTGTACAGATGTGCTGAAGTTAAAGATGTTCATCTTACATACAATTTTTAGAAAGAAAAAATAAACGTGTCTTGATAAAAAATTAAATGTTCGGTTGATAAATACGCCAGTGAATCTATGAATAGAATGAAGATAATCGAGTGTAGACTACAGAATAGAAACTATTTTTATCCCAAGTTATAAGATTTGTTATAGGTTTAAAACCAGTTCTGAAGCTGCTTAAGGCAGTATTAGTTCTGTAAGCTATCTGTCTATAAATAAATTACCACGCTCGGCTGATCTGCTTGGCTTACAGTGCTCTTTAACCCAGTTATAGGCGAAATCAACAACATCAGGCGGATTAGTCGGACCACACAGAAGTGTTTGTCAGTAACACAGGGGCGTATATGTTAGCTACATATGGGGACAAGTCAACTACACATTGAACAAGTCAACTACACATTGGGACAAGTCAACTACACATTGGGACAAGTCAACTACACATTGGGACAAGTCAACTACACATTGGGACAAGTCAACTACATGTTGGGACAAGTCAGCTACACACAGGGTGGGGGGACTAGTCAGCTACACACAGGGGGGAGGGGACAAGTCAACTACATGTTGGGAGAACTCATCTACACATTGGGAGAAGTCATCTACACATTGGGACAAGTCAGCTACACAGGGGGGGGGGGAGTCAACTATACATTGGGACAAGTCAACTACACATTAGGACAAGTCAATTACACATTGGGACAAGGCAGCTACACACATAGGGGGGGGGGGGTAAAAGTCAGCTACACGCATGTGGGGGGGGGGGGGGATAAGTCAGCTATACACCGGGGGACAAGTCAGCTAAACAAGGGCGGACAAGTCAGTTACACATGTGGACAAGTCAGTTGCACATTAGGGCATAAAAGACTCACACGCAGAAACCTTAACTCACCCCCACAAAATATTGAACACAAATACAACTATATAGGTCACCCTTGAATCCTCCCCATCACTCACCCCCCCCCCCCACCCCACCCCATCTTATATCTGATCCCTCTTCCTCATTGTGTTCAGGCGACTCCGTATGACTGACGTCATCCAGCATGTCACCGAAACACGGCAGTTTGCCGAAAAGAGCCGAGAGCGACGTGTGATGTATGACGGCGGTCACCGTACCAGGAGCTCTGTCAAACTTAACCCCCGTTCAATTTATTACCGATCAGCATGACGCGGCCTATTTATTTCTAATCCTCGAACACTTTTATCCCAATGTTTCTGCCTTGTTTTTTCTTTCTTAAAGAAAAACCTCGTACAGATGGAAAATATATAATAACTACACTAAACTAATTTTACAGTAAAAAAAAATAATAATTTAACCAGGTGGGTATCACATGATCGATGGATTGAAAACTTTAAAATCTGGAGTCGACCAACCAGTTTATCTACAAGATTAAACTTGTTGCAAGATCCCTTCAATATTATAAAAAAAAATACTAAGAACGACGAAGAAGAATCACTACCACAAAAACGAAAATTTAAAACATACACACAATTTTAAATGAACCACTAATACGTTTTGTCTAATTAACAATACACACTTTAAAAAACAACAATTAGCAGCAATAAGCAACAGCAACAAAGATTATTTAGTTTCAAGAAGAGCAAAATGTACACGACAAACTGGTTTATCCTGCACACTACGAGGCAGTAATTAACTTTACATTAACTCTGGGAGTTACACCTTCTCGTGAGAAACTATCAAACGCAAAATTTTAAACAAAGATGGTGCCCGAGGGTGGGTCTTTAAAATCCCGAGGGTGATTGTCTCTCGGTCGCAGTGCAAATAGTTGAACGCCTCTAAACCGTGACAAATAAACGTGACTGACATAGAATTAGTGTGACCCTAGCTCATGATTTTCTATACAATTAAAAAAAAAATACCCCCCCCCCCCCCAATGATTGAAATGATATTGTAGATAAAGTGTTTCTCCTTATGGGGGTAAGAAGTTGGTATACATCCGCTCGTTACATTCATTTGCCCTAAGGGACTTTTTTTTTCGGCGTAGGGTTTTCTCTCGTCTAGATCGTGAGGTAACCAAAAGGTAAGGATCTAAACCGCTTAGTGGAAATTAAGTCGATGATGGATAGGGGGATGTGATCTTTTGAATCGGCTGTCACACACGGAGAATGGTACGTCTGGGGGGACGTGAGAGAAATTATGGGATATGTGTACGTTCACGTTTTTTTTTTTTTTTTTTGTATCATGGACGGACTCACGATTTTGTCGTCTCTTTACCCCCTCCTCCCACCTCATTTCACGGTCTTACGCCAACACACACATGCATACACCTACACACACATGTACATATTTAAAAACAGTTTTAAGTCGACTTCCCATCCCCTTTGCTTAAACCCAGT